ACTATGACTACGGGCCCATATCTCTGGTTGGCGATCGCGCTTTTTAGGCTGTGAAATGTCTGATTATCTGAAAACAAGAAACGGCATCTTTCTCTAGCGACTTATTATGTACAAGGAGCCTGATTATCTATATAACAAGCTCATTTTCCCTAAATCAGCTCGAATTAATGATTTGATAGTATTCTTTGTCAATGCTATTCGTAATTCTATTCCAATGGCAAATCGCAGTAGTCTAAATAAAATCAACTCGTTAAAGTAAATTTACGTTTTATAATTATGAGTTTCGCTATCTGAATAAAAAATCTCATGTTAATATGTATAACCTCTATATTGCTTTAATTGTCTGTACTTTTTATTATGAGTTTTAGCTTTACTTTATTATAAGTTTTAGTCTTAGTAACTATTATTACCTTGTTTTATCTTTCTGGTTTGAACAATGCAAACACGCCTTTATTTTGCATATAGAACTTTTAAGACTTAAGATTTTACGACGCTCAACACCCCTTGTGAAACCCCTACGTACACGCAAAAACAAGTAGCCGCTCAGTAATTCTTTGTCACATTACTTTTTCCGCTTGATTTCCAAGCGTTTGATTGTGCCTCTTTTTTTGGTGTCTTTTCCGCCTACATTTTAGTTTTTTTTTTTTTTGCACTAACAACGGAAAATATCTACATATGTACATACCTTTATATATACAACCAAATTTATAATTACGTATTCCTTTTTTCCCATGCGTAATTTACTACGAGCTGTTTCATTATTTTTTACATATTCCAACATTTCCACCACACGTTCCCTCATCATAACAACCGATAACAAACCGCCGGTGGCTTAGTAACCGGCATTACTTTCATACCACGGGTATGAAATGAGCACGCTAATAGGCAGACGCACTGTGTATGCCGCCTATTATAGTAATGCTTACATACACGCATACATATGCAATTGATTTGATTGGAAGGTAAGCCAACCCAACTGGACGGATAAATGGTGTCACTAAAGTTCTAACAACACAATCGACTTCAGTGATAGTGCAACAAACGAAATGCTGACAACGCAATCAGAAAAATTTACACGCCTGGAAGAAAATTACAAGCTTTAATAAGTTTAAAATTTTTACTTGTGCCCAAATATGTTCTCTCTTTTGGCGAAATTCGCCAAGGATATTGATTGCTTATTAGAGACATGTATGAAGATAATTTGCTTCGTAAATTGGGAATAACCTTCAACTTGATTTCATTTAATTTTTTTCTTATTTTTCAGATCCAAAAATGTCATCAGCACCATACAACTATAATTACATCTTTAAGTATATAATTATCGGTGATATGGGAGTAGGCAAGTCATGCCTGCTGCATCAGTTCACAGAGAAAAAATGTAGGTAGAACATATGTACATGGAAAACATATGTACATATGTATGTACAAGCATATAGCATAGGAGGATCTACATGTATTACTAAGCAAATTTGCCGAAGAAACCATGGGTCCAAAATCAATTTGGAGTTTGCCAAATTGCGAAAATAGGTTTCTTTTACTTAGAAAGTCTAAATCGGAACAGCTTTGGCCCAGTTATTCAAGTTTTTCTTAAACCAATCTTTGAAAAAAGTTAAAACACAGAATCAAAAATCTCATTATTATGATTCCGTTGAAAAGATTTTTAAATAATTTTTTGCAGATTTTTTAAGCTTAAACTGTTTTGTCATCTGAGGGGATTTTATAAAAAAGTTCTTAAAGAAACTATTTTTATGCATAAAAACTCCAAATTGATTTTAGGCCCATGATTTCATCGGAGAATTTGCTTAGAATTAGACGTAGAATCCTATGCTATATGCCTATAGTCGAAAAAATCTCCCATACAAATTTACCCACCCTAATATACATCCTTGCATACACATGCACTATATGCATATAACAATTATTTACAGTCATGGCGAATTGCCCACATACGATTGGTGTGGAGTTCGGTACACGGATCATTGAGGTCGATGATAAGAAAATCAAATTGCAAATCTGGGACACAGCGGGTCAGGAGCGTTTTCGTGCCGTGACGCGTTCATACTATCGTGGCGCGGCTGGTGCGCTTATGGTTTACGATATTACTAGAAGGTAAGCAAGAACAAAGATTTCAAAGTATTTTTGTGCTTTTTTACACACAGCTTCTGTAAATTTTTGGTCATATTCCTTTTTGCAGATCTACTTATAATCATCTCAGCAGTTGGCTAACTGATACACGTAATCTCACAAATCCCAATACTGTGATCTTTTTAATTGGCAACAAATCAGATCTTGAAAGTACACGCGAAGTGACCTATGAAGAGGCCAAAGAGTTTGCTGATGAAAACGGTTTAATGTTTTTGGAAGCTAGTGCAATGAGGTAAAGTTTTAATAAACATTATTTGATTTGGATTTTTTACGACCAATGTCTTTATTTGCAGTGGTCAAAATGTTGAAGAAGCATTTCTTGAAACTGCGCGTAAAATATATCAGAATATACAGGAGGGACGTCTGGATTTGAACGCTTCTGAATCGGGCGTACAACACCGACCATCACAACCAGGACGAACTTCGCTAACAAACGAAGCACCAAATACAAAAGATCAATGCTCATGTTAAATATGCATTAATTCCACATACAAATTTCTCTTCTCTTTTTGTGTATGTATTATTATATTTTCATTTATCTACTTAGTTAAGTTTAACTATAACAAAGCAAAATGATGTGTAAAAACAAGTAATTGCTATTAAATCTAAGTAAAAAAATTATACAATTTAAATGATAATTATTAAAGAGATACATCCATACATATATACGTTTAGGAACTAGAAAACGCAAAATCGAACAATGTTTAGCGAATTATAAACAGATGGTAGTGCTGAGAAGTGCTCTTGCATTATACTATATGTATGAAGGATTTCTTGTCTTCACAATATGCATAGCAAAAGTTAGTTGAGACTTCTCAAATGCTGGGTTGATCCAACCAGCTGCATTTCAAATGTTTTCACGCGATTTTCTTTATCTTTTGTGATTGATTCACGATAAGAACAGTAAATGGTTATTAATGTAATATTTTCATAAGCGTTAAAGACGTGCGTAATACAAAATGAGAATGCAATAAATGTAAGGTAGTCCAATAAAACAAAAACAATAAATATCTATTTAGTGCAGGTGTAACGGTATTTAAATACAATAATAGCCAATTCAGTTATAAAATACACTTATAATTGCACACAAACAATTGTGGTAAAGTACAACACGAATAAATAATTTTATTTCATAATTAAAAATTAAAGATTGATACAACTGCTGTCAGCCAAAGCTTTTTTTTATTGGTTATATATATTTAAAATACCCCCTGACTAATATATCTCGATTGCGATTTTTGGCTAAACATATCGCACATTTGCTGCAAGAGGTTCATAATACAAAATTTAGTTAATCGGATTATGACACCCTGCGTCTAATGAGCGATATGTACATTTTGTGTTGAATAAATCGCTAATTCTTACATAAATATTCATATTCGCTTGGCTGCATACATTAATTATAAAACTGCTTATCAGCAAAATATTTTCATACACTTTTCATGTAGAAAATGCAATGTTAAACCTTCATAAGTGTCCCTAATTGTGTGGCCACCATTGTATGTTCACATATTTTTTCTACGTACATGCATATGTACATATGTATCTTCTTGGGATTAATCTCAAGCATTTAACTCCGAATTTAGACCCCACCTTATTATAAAATCACATGTTCCGCCCAACAGCTCACTACCTCCATGTGTGAGATGGATATGGGAGTGGGAGTTGGTTTACAGCTCAAGCTTCCCCACAAAAAACTTTCGGCGAAAGCTTTTATAGTTAGCAGTATCCCAAATAAGCACGTAAGGGTGTGATAAAAACTTAAATGAGCGTTAACAGAAAGCAATTAAAGCAAAAATTTTGTATCGGCTAACAAACACCTACATTCATATCGCTAGCGTAGAGTGAAAAGTTGCCAAGTTCAAGTTTTCTAAAAAATTATGTTTTGATGCAAGAAGTAAGAACAATAAAAAATGCATCTGTTTCTAAAAACATCAAACGATCTGTTTTATTTCTTACCGCTTCTATTCATCATCAACATTGTTGTTAGATTTGGTGATGCTTTACTTTAGATTACACCGAATTTTGAATTAAAATTGTTGCAAAATAAGGTCCAAATTCACAGTGTTTGAGTACAAAAATCTGTAGTTAACTGCCGATTCTAAGTTAACTACGCACTGTGAATTTGGCCGTAAGTGCTTGAAGAAAATGAGTTTGAAATGATTTTATTATCTCCTGTAAAATTTGAAAACTGGACTTAGCGACTTTTCACTCTAAGTTAGCGATATGTTTAGTCGAATACATGTACATATACATGTATGTAGTCAGAGGTTAACTACTTTTTTACAAGCTTTTATTTAACTTCACTTGTATGTATGTATGTATGTATGTATGTATGTCCTGGAACTTTGCAGTCAATATTTAACTTTAGTTTGCTTTAAAAAAATTTCTCAAATTTCACGCTAAGCATTAAAATTTTTTTCCTTAAATGCGGATTCACCATTCTAGTCTGAACTTTTTCCTCCATGTGGTTGTTGTTATGTGTCTCTCTCTGTGAGAGAAACGCAACCACATGGAAGAAAAAATTCTGGACTTAAACGATGAATCGTTTAAACTATATTTGTGTGTGCACGTTAGTATAATAAGAACCGAAATAATTTTACGCTATATACTATCGATAAAACCATTTTTTAGTACATGCTATGTATATGTAAAAGACCAACACGAAATAAAATGGTATACTTAAATACACAAAAAATGAGCATTTTTCCTAAAATTACAAAGACACGGGAATACGCATTGACGTCTTTTGAAAATTTTATTTAAACTAAAGTGATTACAAAACTACAAATGTCTTTTTAGCTTAAATACACACATAAGTATGTATGAATGTACGTACATATAAGAATAAAGAATATTAGACACGTCTAGTAGTGATGTTATTGTACAAATTACATTCGTCAATACTGGTAAATATAATTACCTACCAAGTGAATACGGAGCATGTGCTGCATACTAAAATGAATATTTTCCATATTGGTTTATATATAAGTAAATTGATATAAAAAATAATTTGTTGCCTATTTTACAACTTAAAAATGTAGAAAATATTCGCAAGCATACGAATTTATACACTTAGTTTAAACTAATAACTACTTGGATACATAATAACTACGAGTATATTGCTGCAGTGAAGATCAGTCTATCATTCCCGGATTGCACAACTAATGGCGGCTGACATATCGTTTACTTCGTCCTGTGCGTCCATTTTTCATTATCGCAATTATTTTCCTTTCCACCAACGCACATCTCACGATGTCTCCTCTACCTTCACTATATCCCATGCACTCGCATCGTCTTTCGAGCACAAATCCAATATGATGCCAGCACCTATTTGTGCTGCTTTCGCACGCATACAAGTGCCTGCCGCCATATTGTAGATGGGACTATGCTCAGTGCGAGTATGTCGCCATTGCTGATCGCCCAGCATTTCGTGGCACTTATTTATGTGCACCTGCGAGTCGCCATATGACTCGAGGCATAACAACTTGTCCAGCACGATCTCGGCCTTGTCGGTTTCATACCATATTTGGTTACGAGTGCGAATGCAAGCTTGCAAAATCAGGGGACTACCCTTCTTTAAGAAGCCCTTGACTTTGGGCGCCACAACGGACGCACATAAATTAGTGCCAGTCAGTCGTATCATGTATGCGGCAAGGTAATTACGTTTTCGTGAATGCCATGGTTGATAAACACCAGCAGCCGCTGCAGATTTCTTGCTTTCTTGGCCAGGCAGCAGCATTTCGGGGTACACATTTTTCATATACCATGCGAAGTCATGGCATTTCAAACGTTTACGTAGTTCTAAACGCGTTGATATGTCACCGTAGTCCAAATCGCGTCCGGATTTTGTTTCCTTCAGGAAGTAATCCTTGTATTCGTCCATCCAAACGTGTGCTGCGCGTAATGAGTTGCGCTTCATCGTATCCTTACCATCGGGAGCGGAATAGGGACGTCTTTTGCGGAAGATATGTCCAACCCGCGAACAGGGGTATATCTTTATAGCGCCGTGACATTGCCAGACGCGGAAGGAAATTTCGATATTCTCACCGCCCCATATATCCATGCCTTCGTCGTATTCACCAATATGTTTGAAGTACTGTCGATTTACTGCAAAGAGACCGCCCGCCATTGTAGGTGTGTTAAATGGGCCTTTGAAGTCCTCATCTTTTTTCAAAGTGCCTTTTGGCAATGTGATCCACTTGTAGTGTAAGCCCCAATTAAAACCACCACGCACTAAGGGACTAGGACTGTATTCAAACGTATCAGGGCTAATAAGATCCATCACCGGTACGGCGATGGTTGAATTTTCTTGCTTCACTGCACGCGCTAGCGGTTCTGCCCACTGTTGGTTAACTTCGATGTGCGAATCGAGGAAAACCAGCACATCGCCCTCCGCGGAATGTGCGCCTGCTATACGCGAACGTATCAGCCCTTCTCGTTTTTCATTGCGCATATAATGCAGACGATCGTAATGAAGTTGCGCATGTAAATCGCTTAACAAATGAAATTCTAACTCGGGAAGGTCACTAAAATCATCAACCAGTATAATTTCTTTTAGCATATGCGCTGGCGTACGTTTTATTACAGAGTTAATGGAACGTATTAGTGTCATCTTGTGTTCATTATAGAAGCACATAATCACTGAAATAGTTGGTAAATCTTCATTAGGATCGTTGGGTTCTTGGGAACATATTTTATGCCGTGTATCAGGCACCTCACGATATGGTCCAATGTTGTTTGAAATAAGCGCATTAAAAGCATGATTTTTAAATCCAATATCGCGTATATACTTATCTTTCTTATCGCGTAGTACACCTAACATCTTCAAAGGTTCTATAGTTTCATGCAAAGCGCCTTTTTCCGGCCCCCCTTTACAACATTCTTTAACTCGAGCCTCCCACATGAAATTAGGATTCGGTGTGCGTGAATCATTCCAACTGGGTAACTTCCATCCAGCTTCCACGATGGAGTTGTGTTGGTAGTAGATATAGTAGGTAAGCGCCAAGGATGCAGCCAGCGTGGTGATAATTGTACTGGTGCTGCAGCGTCGCAGGCAACACCTTCTTAACATCATTTTGCAATTATTCGGGTAGCATTGGCCGACGTGGGATGTTTAATATTTTTATATTGACTTCAATTGCACTGCACTGATTAGTCAGAGCTGTTGTTGCAATATGACAGATGTAGTTAATTTATGCAAAACAGAAATTTCAACATTTCTCCATTCAATTAACCACTCTTTTTTGTTTATTAATCACAAAAATTATTCGCAATAGTAGACAGGTGTTTACTCAATTGTGAATTAAATTATAAAAAGCCCAGGGCTGCCAGCTTAACATCCGCTTTTCTCTTAAATTTTACCTTTCGATATTTACGCTTTATGTACAAACATATATTGAAAATTTGAAATAGTTTCCTATAATAATAAATGCGTGATATGTATGTATATTTGCCCTTTTTTTTGGGGGTTTGGGGTCATTGTGCATACTTAGAAGTGAAAAAAGAATCAGATGTTTTGCAGAACTGCCCCACAGCTGAGATCACCTGATTTTATTTTCTACAGGGTTACACTAATATCTATAAAAAAAAAACTTTAAACAGACTCTGACAAAAACAGCAAAAAAGTTCTATTAAGGGTAATAGTTATTGCCCAAAACGCTTTAAAATACTAAAATGGCATATAAATGCAGGAATCCATTCTGGCAGGCTGAATCTCTGTATTTAGCTCTTAAGTTTGACAAACCGCTTGAGTCAACCGGCATGCCGTTTTAATCCTCAGTAAATATACAAGATGGAAATAACACAATTAGGTGAGTTGATAGGCAGGTCTAATATTCAATTCATTTGGAAGAAGGATTTTCAACATCGATTTTTCCGATATCGATATCGTTCAGCCCTATATATCGCCATATCGATTGTACATGCAATGAATTAAATCTATTCATGATATCGATACTGTCTTAAATATCGAACATTCTACTACCGGGGGGTAAAATCTGATCAGGGCTGATAATGAGGAGCATGAAATTTGTTGATTCAGAGATGTATACAAAATTTCTGTGGTACGAAAGGGAGCAACAACCGTGCTATGGCAGAGTGGCACATGACATGACTGTATAATAGTGACCGAAAATAATTACAGAAGTGTAAAAATTACAAATTATTCTCTATTATACCATGTTCTGACCGACAACGAAAACACTTTGAAAACGTGTTTTGAGATTGTGGGCTGAAGGCTGTTCACACCGGCTGTTAGTGTTTTCGTTGACATTTCTTACATCCTCTGATTACAGTTTTACTACACAAAAACAAAACCAAAATGCTTTTCCCTCATTTTCTTTTCATTAGTAACCTCTTACTTTCATTCTTATTTTACTTTTGCCAGCCAATTAACAATAAATCCGAAATGGCGTATTAAAAATGATAAAATATGACTTCCACTTCGATAAATAATCGAAAAAAAAACTAGTGGACACCGATTGGAATGAGTGGAACGTTAGTTTTCAAGTGGTTTTCAGCGAAAACTAGTTTTCGTTTGACAGATTTTACATGGACGAAAACACATGTTTTAAGTCGAAACCAAGGCACATTAAACAGGTAGTATCAGTAGAGCAAAAACAACATTTGCGTGTATTTTGTTGTTGCTTCTGGTATCGAAAGTGTCAAAAACTGTTCTGAATTTTTTCTTCTAAATCCAAGCGTGCCATGTGAAATACAAAAAATTATAAAAAATAAAATAAAATTGATATTGGAAAAAATAAAAATTGATGCAACTTTCTTTCCTAGTAAATTTGTTTGCTTCTCGAAGCATTGATCCATCCTTTGCAAGGCCCAGTAATCAGCGGTCGTGCTGCTGAGTTGGGCGAACGTTCCAAAAGCTGCTATTCAATCGCTTGTTTTGTATGGAAAAAGGTTTCACATGCAAATGGATTTTAACAATTCAGAATTTTTGTGAGAAAAAATTAAAAATATTTGACATTTTCGAGACCAAATAATTTGAAAATAAATCAAATCAGCTGCTCTACTGATACTACCTGTTCAATGTACCTTGGTTGTAAGTTATGCAAAGGTTTTATTTAAGTCAAAATATAGAAAATGTTGGGGAATACTGAATTAACATACGTAAATGTTTAAATGCAAGTAAAAATTTAGACGAAGGTTTACTTTGGGAACACTAATTCCCTTCAACTGACAGTACAGTGCGGAAATATTCGCTGTCCAACTGTTTAATATCCTTTGCAAATGTTGCAACCAATTTACTCAATTCCGCTTCATCGATATCAACATCATTGCCCGTAGTTGTCAAACGCTCTACAGCTGCATCGATTTTGTCCAGCAATTCCTTATCTGCTTCACTTTGCTTATCAGCATATTCATCCTCGAACTCCCTATAAATGCGTTGCGCATTATGCACCACAGCTTCAGGAAAATTAGCAAGACGTGCGACTTGTATTCCAAAACTTTTTTCCATTATACCAGGGCATACTTGATATAGGAGCGTAAAATTCTCTGCATTTGCGACGGCAGCCATGTGACAATTTTTTACCGTATCTACGGATTCAGCCAGATTCGTGATTTCGTGGAAATGTGTGGCGAAAAGTGTGAAACACTTTGTTACTTTGGCTAAATGTCTGTAACAAATTAAGCGGATTATAAATAAAATTTAATAGATGATGTAAATCATACTCAGCAATTGACCAAGCTATACCGCAGCCCTCATACGTCGACGTGCCGCGACCTAGTTCGTCTATAATAACCAGCGAATTTTCGGTCGCCGTCTACAGAAGCGAAATTAATAAAATTAGGGATTTTACTAATTATTTTCATATGTATGTGTAGAAACTCACGCGCACAATGCCCGAGGTCTCGATCATCTCGACCATGAATGTACTCAATCCCTTCACAATGTTGTCACTGGCTCCAACACGTCCCAATATGGAATCAACCATCGTTATTGTAGCCTCGCTGCAGGGCACAAAAGCACCCACGTGAGCCATCAGCACAGCAGTGCCCACCGATCGTATATAAGTACTTTTTCCGCCCATATTTGGTCCAGTTATTATGAACATGTTGCAAGCATCTGCGAATTTATATACTTCAACTTAAAGAAATTCAATTTTAATAAGTAATCAGGGCTATCACAGAATCCATTGCAGTCCGATATTTCGTGGAATCAACGAAAATGCTATGACTAAATCCGAATAGCTACGAACGTGGCGGAAAAATCGGACCATGATGGATTCTGTGATAGCCCCCCAATATAATTCACCTTTCTCGAAAGCCACGTTGTTGGCAATGAACGTAACATGCTCCTGAAGTTCTAGACAAGGATGCCGTAAGTCCTTCAGCTCTAATACACCCGCACCCTCTTTTAACATTTTCGGACGCATATATGGAGTAGGCGCCGCCAACGCCGCCATTGCAAAGCTGACTAAACAATCTAATTGCGCTAGCTCATTGTTCAAGGAACTAAGTGGTCCTGCATAACCAATAGCCACTTTTATAATTTCCTCCACGACTGATTTTTGCTGCTCCTCATACTGATCACACAAAGTACCGTACTCCTCACTATATTCAGTTAGTTTTTCGTTGGTGAAGCGTACGCCTCCCTTTACCACATCGAGAATCTTATAGTTCTTATTTTTACGCAACTCTGAATCATCCTTCAGCGTAACTCGAAAATGGTACCCAATTTTTGCGACATTTTCCAAACGCACTTGCGACTTTTCCATATTCAAATCATCTGCAGCCTTCTGCTGTAAGCGCTCCATTTTCGATAACACACGCGACATATGATTCTTCATGTCTTGCAATTGTTCATCAAAAGAAGCCTTCACAAGGTAGTCGCCTGCTTCAATAGCTTCAAAATCGACTACTTGCTCAACTAACTGCTTAAAACCCGACAAGTCCTCTAAATAACTCTTCATTGCATCACAGAGCACATTTTTTACAGTGGCATGCTCAAGGCTAAGTAAAGTGTTGACTATACGAGGTGTACGCAAAACAACTTGATACACACGAAAGAGGTCCTGCATGTTAGCCTTCTGACGTAGCAGACGCTTCGTCAGCATTAACACGTCAGGAATGCGCTTTAAGTAGTCATCGTGTAGTGTGGTTAGAGTGCCTGGCGATTCTAATAAGCACTGAACAATGTCATGCCGATCGTTTAGAATTTCGATGCTACGTAGCGGTTGCTTAATCCATTGGGCAAGAAGGCGATGTCCTTGAGGAGTGCGACAGTGGTCGAGTACGCCAAGAATGCTCTGCCAGTGGTAGCCGGGAGAGTTAGGATTGGTGCCAGGTTTGGGCAGAATGTTGAGCGCAGCAACAGCCGCTGAATCCAAGTGTACAAAGCTAAAGAACACGTAAGATTTACTTAACTCTTTCATTAATTTTAACTGCAAAGGTTACCGCTTCAGGTTAAGTTGCTTAATTTCATAGTGCCCCAAATTGCTGGCGTCGTTGGTTAAATTTAAGTATTTTATAGCAACTCGCAAAGCTTCCATAGCCATGGTGAGTTGCATCTCCGGCAATGTTAAAGCATCTTCCTGCTGTCCCTTCGCAAAACGTATCAAGCGATTAAGATCCTGCAGCAAGTCGTTCTTATCGGCGGGTGTTGCTGCAGAGCGTTTCGGTACAGTTACGCCTACATTGTTGCGTTCCAGCAGTTGCCTTACTGCAATGTACTACAAAACGAATATGGACTATATGGATTTAGATTTATACACTTATGTATAATACCTCTCCATCTGCTGCTGGCAAAAGGCATTCTTTTGGGCCTAATAGCACCACCATCGCTTCGAGCTCGGTGAAGAAATCGTTGTCGATAAACTCCAAAACATGAAATTGGCAATCGTTCTGTTCCACAAAGGCCACGCCTAAACGACGCTGATTACCGTCAACCAAACGAACCTGGAGCGACAGTAAGTTGTTGCTCACAAGTATTTCACGATTTCCAAACAAAATTTCCTCGAACTGTATTAAATTGCCTGGTGATCCGCGATATTCAAGTTCCCAGTTATTGCTTGCTGCTGCAGCGCCAACCGGGCGGACATAAACTTCCACGCGGAAGTTGCGGACCAAAAGCAGCTCTCTAACAGCCATATTAAAGTTCGCTTTTGATAAAGTAACATAACTGAGCGCGTCCGATTCATCAGGTAGGAGTTTATGGACAAATGCAGTAGATTTGTAGATCAGTTTAGCAATCAACTCGCAGTCGTCTGTGCCATGCACAGTGTAAAAATCAATGCGATCAAAGAACCGCACAGTTGTTGGGGGTTTCTATAAATAATAATATTTGCATATTTATTAGTTTTATTTATTGAAAAACTTACGTCCTCTGATTTGGCATAGTATTTTATGAAGTTACGCTGCGCGTTGATATCTGTGAAACAATTCGTGATATGCATAAAGTTAAGCAAATAGTTTGATAAGCTTACCGAGGTTAAGTTGCGGCTCCTGCCTATTCGCGTTTATTACTTCCATTTAAATAAACTGCTTAAACGTACTTGTTTTAAAAATGATAGTTTACCCAAGTTTTCTCGCGCCCGCAAATGCTTCTTCTTTTCAGTAGTGCAATTCAAATTACTGAAAGTTAATAAGCCCTACAAGACGCGATTTCTATCGATAGAAACTCCAACACATTCACAACGAAAACTAACCCATATACAAAATCTTATATGCCATGGCAGGGAGGGTACCCAGCATTTGGATCTATCAGGATCATATCGTTGTTATTGCATTTGCGTGCAAATTTTTTATCCGGATCCAGATCATTGCCCAAGAAAACACAGTTATTATTGGACAGATTATAAATCATTTTTTTAAACATTTATTTATGTGTACTCATGATTCACTAATACAAGGTTCGTAAACTGATATTTGTCTCTCTCGTACCGCTCCCTTAGCAGAGGCACCGTGTTGCTTCTTTGCAAATTTACATTCGCTTTCTAGTAAAAAATGGTAATTTCTGTCAACTTCAACATAACCTCCAAATTTTGGTTGTAAATTTTTGCTTATTTTGTATGTAAACACAGTCAGCTCACACATGTAAATAACTAAAAATACTTTCAAATTCATTAGAATCCACTTAAACAAGTAATTAAATACTTTTCAACATGAATTAGCAGAGTGCACTTTTCTTTTGTTTACATTTTGGTTGCCAAACACACTACAGCTGATCGTTTGACACATTTACCAGAATTTACCAGCAAAAAATTCTCGGACTAAAACTGGTAACTTCTCACAGAGAGAGAACCGCATTTACTCTCTTTTTTGTCCTCTCAGTAGTCAGAGAACCAAGTACGGGATCGATATCCAGTAAAATCTGACTGATTCTGACCATTTCTGACTAGTCCGGACTCGTTCGGGATCGCAACTATAAACAATAGTGGTATTCATCTAAACCGATAACTTAATCAAACAGATAATCTTATAAGTTTACGCGCTTCGGGGGGGTGCTGCCTTGTGGTGGTGGTTGGCGGCGTCGCGGTGCCGACATAGTCACTCGTCCAATCTCGTGTGTTGCGAAGTCCTGAGCACGCCCAAAGTGGCACTAGTCCAGGAAAGAGTGGCACTTGACTGATGTCACGTTACGGTATATTCTGGACTGACAAACAGAGCAGATTGTCGGAGGGACTAGGAGTTGCCGACGGCGGTGTGTGGGTGCTATTGTGTTTGTTTGTGTGTCTATTGTTGTGTTGTGTTGGGGTGTGGGTGTGTTGATTGTGTGCTGCCCAGGTGGGTGGTGGTTTGCCGTGGAGGCGATCCGGTTCGCACAGTATGGGGCCACGTGGACCATTGCCGGTACGTACGTAGGCCCGAGCAGTTACGGAGGTGACTCCACCCGTCACAGGCATTGCACCTGATCGAGGTGGAGTTTGTATGCAGTCGTCTCTGGCATACGCAGCAGGTGTAGATATCTGGCCCTGGGTTTGACTCTATGCCAGCCCTGAGCAGAAGAGTACGGAGAAGGTGTAGCCCTAGAACCGAGCAACGTTTGATGGATTTCGCCGGCCTAAACGGGGCTAGATCGCCGAAACAACAGCCCTTGGTCGGGTAAAACCCGAGTCATTCCGGTACGTAGAACCGGCTGTCGTGGGAATGCCAGAAAATTGCATGTTTCTTTTGCTTCATCTTGTCAGATCTTGTGTAATTGGATCATGAGACTGAGGTAGCGACACCCCTGGATACCACAGCAAATGTGGTTAAATATTATCCGGTTACAGAAACTTTTTTCTTCATCACTAATTTCAAGCAGCTGATAAGTTCATTGTTAATGGCATATTCTGGCAGAAGCAGGAGTTTGTGCAAATACTATCTTCTGGAAGCGAAAATAATTAAATTGTGCCATAAAAGTCAATATATCAAATAAATTCCATTATAGTGAACAAAAGTGCGAGCACAAAACTTTTTATAAATGCGAAATAAATAAATTAAAATTCCTTTCGTTCTATTAAGGTACGTACCATGTCCTTGCTGCGTCAATGTGGAGCCGCTTTGGGGAGGCGAAATACAGTACAGCAACTTCTGCTGAAACCTCTTTTGCTTGGTGGTGGCCAGTGCAGCGGACTGTTAGTCCAGCCAACGCTTCCAGTTGCGTCCAATAATGCGTGCGGAGTGCGGTGCTATAAAAAGTTTGGCCACAAAGAAGAGCCAACTCCTCGGCTAACAAAATACTTCCACGCCTTTGTTAGCACTTTATTTATTATAACGATTTTGGACTGGAAGAAGTATGTTTAACCACCTACATATATAAGATTTAGACTTTAACTGACAATTATATATAATTCTCTAAACTTTTAGAATAAAGCGTGCTATCATGCCCAAAGTAGACGCAGATGCACCTAAAGAGAAAGATATTCCTACTAAAGAAACCCCAGAAGAAAACTGGGATAACGATAAAGTGTCCAGTAAGTGCTCCGAACCTGATTTGGCTAAGCCAAAGCGTGAGCAGAAAGATAAAATGGGTTTCCGCGAAAGGAAGGTAAGAAGCAAGGCGCCTTGGTAAGAAGATTGAACACTTTATACATACTTTTTATTTTTCTTTGAATTACGTTGTAAATATATTCACTATTGTAGTTGTTGAAAGAATTGTTTTCTCTTCTAGCACCTGCCGCAATCATTTTCACAGTAGTATTCTTATTTTATTACTTTGTATTTTCTTTGCAGACTTTTCCCTAATTTCTCTGATTAATTTTTATTACTTTTCTTTTATTTTCATGTTACCTATGTACCTGTGTTTGAATTGTTATGAACCTTTTTGTTATCCATAAAATTACCATACATGCACAATTTATGTCCATGAAAATCACCATACATGTGCACGACATGAATACACAAAAACAAAAAAAAAAAAAACTGATTGGAAAACCCTGACCTAAAATGAAGATTATCGAATATGAAAACCGTCTACGTGCCTATTCAACACCGGACAAAATCTTTCGCTATTTCGCCACAGTGCGTCTTACCACACCTACAGTTTCGGAAGTGTGCATGACTCCTGATGACTTTCTGCGTTCAATTTATCCTGGTCTTATACAGCCAGAGGGTATGTTTCCAAAAGCGTTGAATGAACAATTATGTTTGATATAATGCGGTAGCTAGGCGTAAATAATGCAGGAAAACTTAAAATATTCGAACCTCTGTAAGATGTACATTTTGTTTATTTTATTGTGCACCGCACTCGTTTTTTTGATTTCTAAATTTGTTGTAAATACTTGTTTCCGACTATTTCTTGCTTTTTTTCTGTGCTCTATACTTTGATAATCCTTTCCCTGAAGTTCCAAATTGATAAATGTGTTTAACACACTGCTAAGCTTTTGCGGGCATAAATAATATTCCTCATTTCATGTCTGGCTAGATTATCGAATACGAAAATCGTATACGTCAATTTTCTACACCTGACAAGGTTTTTCGTTACTTTGCCACTATACAAGTGCCAACAACAGATGATCGCTATGAGATTTTTATGACACCGCAAGATTTTCTAACTAGCATGACGCCAGGCATGAAACAGCCAGAGGGTATGTTGGTTATTAAAACTGAGATTATGATAACATTTTTAAGGATAATTTGAATAATGTGAGACAAAATTTCACAATTTTGTTTTAGTACATTAACTGAGAGTTGGTAATAATAACTGATTTTTATTTTAGGCTTGGGACTGGACCAGTATCGGCGCTATGATCCTAAGGTATGAAAATTTACAATAGAAAAAAAACCAAAAATAAATTATGTATAAAAAACGAATTAGAGAATAGATAAAATTATGAAACAATGAAATTAAAATAAAGCAAAAAAAATTAAAATTAAACAAAAAAATTTAATAAAAAAACCCAATAACCCAATCAAAATAATATTAAAATAAAAAATAAAATATAATGTAATAATAAAATTGAAATGAAATAAAAAAAGCAAAATCAAATTAAGCTAACTTATCTTTTCCTTATTTACAAACAATATATTCCCCGCTCCATCTAAAATAGGAGAATCCTAAATTATAATAAATACTCACGTGACTTCCATATGTTGTAAAAACTATTCTAAAATTATTTACTGCATTATTTTGCGAAAACACACTGCCTTACATTTCTGTCCTCTTTCTAATATCACAATTTCCTTTTTTCTCCCCACCACACCCAAAACATGCTCTCTACATACAGGTTGCAGGCGAGGTATTTTTTTAAAAACCCTTTGACAAGCACATTACTAAATAAAAGAAAAGAAAACGAATTATTTAATACTCGTTGCAGCATATGTGAATGAACAAATGAATGATAATTCTACCCCTCCTTTTAACAAATAAGTTTTATTTGCCGTTACACAAAAAATTACAAGCATTTTTTTGCATGTTGCACAATTTTTTTCGCGTATAAGAGACCTGCTCGTATAATTGGGCTTGTGTGATAAAATTATTGTTAAAAAACAAAAACAAAAAAAATCAAATTAGCAAATACTGTTTATAAAAACTAAATGTTTTTGCACTAATCCAATGCTTTTAACACTAAATGCACTTTTTTTATCAAAAAAAAAAAAAAAAAAACGATGCAATGCGTGTACTCATGTCTGCGCGCGTTTGTGCTTATACGCCCCTACAATTTGCTCCCTTTGCTGTTGAAAATCGAAATTAAGAAAATAAGTCGTGGCTGTTAAAGATTTTTTGACATGTTTGAGAATTGTATGTTTCGGTTGTAATTAGATTTAACTAATATTCACATATATATATATATATATTTTTTTTTTTTCACGCCAGGACGTGGCTGAGTGTCTGAAGTTGCATTTGGACAAGGACAGTATATTCTATAAATTGGGCTCATACGGTTTAATTACTTTCTCCGACTATATATTCTTGCTGACTGTGCTTTCAAGTGAGTGTAGCGTTCTGCTCTCAATCGGAAATCCCAACTAATAATAATTTTCATTTCCGAATTTCAGCCTCTCGTCGTCATTTTGAAATCGCCTTTCAAATGTTCGATCTGAATGGTGACGGCGATGTGGATAGCGAAGAATTTGAAATGGTAGCTGATTTGGTGCGCCAACAATCGACTATTGGTAGTAGACATCGTGATCATGCGGCCACAGGCAATACGTTCAAGGTAAGTTGAGCATTGATACTTTATTCGAGCACTTTAAATTCCTTTACGTTTTATATATGTATATACTTCTGCTAGGTTTGTGTGCTACATGTTCGTTTATAAAGATACATACGATTATGTTATTGATTATATGTACATATGTACATGCGTATCAACCATGCCTTTTACTGTTGAATCTACTATATGTCAAATATATATTTTCTGTATCTTTGCTCTTTCTTATGTCTTTTGTAAATACCGTCTAATGCCACCCACATCACTACCAAATGTCTTAATCACAAAATTCACCAACTAATTTACCTCTACCTAATAAATACAAAGCCCATGAAGGTATATACTCAGGCAAACTGTATACTGTTCTTTAATTATTTTGCAAATCACCATTTCTTTTCCGCTCACAATGTCTATATTTATTCACGCTTACGTCTGATATTTTGTATCAAGCTCACAATCACACTCCTTATTTTAATCTCGCTTAACTTACATTTTGCTTTGGTGTCATGTCACTTTTGTACCATATTTGCATCGCCAAAATCATTAATCAAATCAGCTAAGCAAATACATACTCGGTTTTTAGATTTGGCGCGAAAACTTTTGTTATTCTAACAGCAAAAAAAAAATATTATTTTCTCCCGCCTAACAGGGTGTTAACTCCGCTCTAACCCACTATTTCTTCGGTCCGAACTTGGATCAAAAGTTGACAATACAAAAGTTTATACACTTCCAAACGCAGCTGCAGCGTGAGATTTTAACGCTCGAATTTGAGCGCAAACATCCGAATAGCGAGGGTCTCATCACTGAGGTTGATTTCGCTGAGCTTTTGGTCGCCTATGCTGGATACTCCCATAAAAAGAAGTCGCGTAAATTGAAGCGCGTCAAGCGTAAATTCAAAGACAATGCTTTGGGTATCTCCAAAGCGGATTACCTAGATTTTTTTCACTTTCTAAGTAATATTAATGATGTGGACACCGCCTTGACGTTCTATCACATTGCGGGAGCGTCCATTGATCAGGCAACACTGAAACATGTTGCCAAAACTGTAGCTATGGTGGATCTAAGGGATCACGTAATTGATGTGGTTTTCACCATTTTCGACGAAGACAGTGAGTACAAACTGGAAATTACAATTTAAAGTATGTATTACTTATCTAATTTTCTCTTTAAATTTCATTAATGTAGACGACAACCAACTGAGTAACCGCGAATTTGTAGCAGTCATGAAGAATCGCTTGCAACGTGGCTTGGAAAAGTCGAAGGATACAGGCTTTATCAAAATGATGCGCTCAATGTTAAAATGTGCCAAGGAAACAAAGCCAGTGCTTCTGGATCTTTAAGGCAAACACTTTTTTTGGTGATTTGGCAAATTATGCTACGACTGCGTTTTCCAGAAAATACCACAATTTTGGATAAACTTTGTATAGCTTTCAGGCGCTTTTTCTTCCCCTCGAATTTAGCTGCCAGTTCTTGTTGGTTTTTGTTACTATTTATTAAGCATTACAATTTATTTTTTATTTAATTTAATAAAAATGTTCTACGCGTTAAAATGTGTCCGTTTTTTTTTTTAATGCTTTTTAACACGCAAACTGTTGTAGATGCAAGACCCACGAAGAAATAAAGTATTTTTTTTTATTATCCTCCACAAAATCTTAGTAAGTGAACCGCTTGAAGCCCTAAGGCAGAATCCTCTTCTCGTAGCAAAGAATTTAAGGAAAAATGCATAGAATCGTAAAATTTCTCCAACCAACCGTGACCGAAAGTTAAAAATAAAATCATTACTTTAAAGAAAAATAATTGAGAAAAATCAGTTGCCGTCCTTGCTTGACCCGCTTCTCTAGCAAATCTTTTTGAAAATTAAAAAAAAACAAGTTTTCTTTTATTAGTGTTTATTTGTTTTATAATTAAAAACGCTTTAATCTGCCTATAGTGGCTTCTGCTGTCAACTTTGCCAACCAACAGATTATATTCTCCATTTCATTTAGTTTCGCTTACAAATTAAAAAATAAAGTAGCACTTATTATTGGTTTACAAATTTATGTATTCTGTTTACATACACACATTATATGTAAGTTGTTTTTTTTTAAAAGAAAGTTTTTTTTTTTGAATTTTTTGCATACATTTTATTTCAAGTATTTATGCTCACTTGCATTACTAAGTAGTTAACAGTGTTGGTGAAATAAGTTTTTTGATCTTCATTTCTTCGCAAATTTATTCAATTATATCTCTCTCTCTCTCTTTCTAATATAATTACGTACTTATTTTGTTTTTAAATAAATATTTCTCATTTTACAACGCTTAATGATCGTAAGAAATTCATATAAATATAAATTACGATTTTTAAAATTTACATTTAAATTTAAAGGCAATCTGTTGAATTAATTCATAATTCTCTCCCTTCTCAGTTAGTTTTTTGTTTTTGGATTTAGTTTTGTTGTTTCATTGAAATTTTGAAGGACGACATGTTGCTGCGAGAGTGTAACCCTATAACGCTTAGCGTTATGCAGTCCTTTGTAATCTAATGCCTTACATACATTTTAATAAGGCTCTGCTCGAAACAAGTGCTTGTTATATTCATACAGTTTACAAAATTAAGTAAAAAAATGTACTATCAATTTCTCAAAAGCTTAGTAACCATAGAAAGTTCATTAAGTTTAAAGATTAAAAAAAAAAAAAGACGGAAGAAAACATTTTTATTAGCCTTTCATGTAAATTTGTGCGTAACTTGGTTGAGAATTGCAGTGGAAATGTGATGCTGCTATGCTAGTTTGTAGGTTGTAGTAAAAATAATTCCCTGGTAGCCAGTTGCATTTAGACACTAAATTTTAAAGACATCCATTGAACTTCGGGCTGATCGTATTTGTTTTCAAAAGTAAATAACCCGCATTTTACATTATAGATGAAACACGCCGATACAAACATCTAGATCCACAAAAGCTTCACTGGTATGCCAACGACTTGTAATAACGTACATATGGTGTGATGCGCTAGGTGTTTGGTGGAACCGGTTGATGAAAAGGAAAAGTAATACTATCTCGGAAAATGAAGCGCCCAGGTCTTATACCATGTTCTGACCGACATCGAAAACAAGTTTTCGTTGCTAGAACTGGTTTTCGACCTAAAACTTGTGTTTTCGTCCATGTAAAATTTGTCAAACGAAAACCAGTTTTCGCTGCAAACTACATGAAAACTTACGTTCCACTCATTCCAATCGGCGTCTTGACTAGTTTTTTCGATTATTTATCGAAGTGGAAGTCATATTTTAGCATCTTTAATATGCCATTTCGGATTTATTGTTAATTGGCTGGTCAAAATAAAATAAGAATGAAAGTAGAAGGTTGTAAATGAAAAAAAATGAAGGCAAAGTATTTTGGTTTTGTTTTTGTGTAGCAAAACTGTAATCAAAAGATGTGAGAAATGCCAACGAAAAGACTAACAGCCGGTGTGAGCAGCCTTCAGCGCACAATCCCAAAACTCGTTTTCAAAGTGTTTTCGTTGTCGGTCAGAACATGGTATTATTTACCTCTGACCGAACTTCATCAAAATAACATAACGGAATCATCAACCTAGAGAGTAATTGCAGAATAGAACTGGCGATCAAAGTAATATGGAACTACTCAAATTTTAAGGGACATTTCCAGATGCGTTCTTTAACTTGTACATAGACAGCTCGAAAAAACACGAAGAATGTCGTAGTCGGGGGCGCACAGTGTGGAGATTGAACTTTTTTCGTGATAATTCTAATATCTCCGAGAACAGCTTGCGAAAAATTTCAACAGCATTTAAGGCTTTTGAGTTGGAGAATTAAGGAAAAATAGTTTCGTTGGATAAAAAAATTTACCTTAACCTTTGAAATGACCTTAAGAAATTTTGATTGTTTGTCCTTTTCTTTACCTTTTTTGACATAAACAAAAAATAAAATCCGTTTGTCGGTTCCTACGACCCTGGAAATGGATTCCTTGACGCAAGAGCAACAAAAATGTGTGGTTAGATATTTTTAAAAAGTTCACTGCATACTATTTTCAGTTCAAAAAAGAGAAAAAAATTGAAAACCCCCTACCCTTGAAGGTCATTTGAAAGGTCAAGTCAATTTGTTTATTCAAAGAAACAATTTTTCCTGAATTCTCCGTCACTGTTGGGTATAATATTTTTAGTGAGTTGAAAAATTTTTGAGTCACCTAAATATTAGATAAAAAGCCCAGGCGTACATTTTATTTAATAAGAATGAATAATCATTGCGAAACATTTTGGTCGATAAAGAAAACCGACGAAAACTTTACTGAAACTACTTTACTGATTTATAGTTTCTTGGTAACCCTGTGTCACACACAATTTCCTTTACAATTCTCACCGCCTTTAAGGTTGCTTTGCGCCTCGAGTATCGTAAAAAATATTGTTACAAACAGGCAGGTTTCTTTATGTTTTTTTTTTTTTTTTTTTTATTTAAAAAATTTTTTTTTTAAATGGAAGTTTTTTTTTTTTTTTTTTTTTTTTTTTTTGAATGTAAACAAATTTCTCTATACATAAACTATATATTATTGTTAGGAGTAATTTTTTTACTATAAAAACGCATAAATAAGTATTGTACATTAACAAATAAAAATACATTCATATGCATGTAGTGATACACACTTATATGTACATATGTATGTATGCATATTTAGGCTATAAATTAACGATAACAAAGTTGTATTATCTCTCGTTAACTATCCTTCGTATCCTTTACTTCTCATTTACCTACTCCTTTGAACTAATATGCTTTTACCAGTTTTTGTTTTTTTTTTGATTTTGCTGTTAACTTGAAGGCTAAGCCTAATTAAACAACGAATTCGACTAGGGGGTAAATAACTTTTATAAAATTCTATCAAAATTTAACCAAATAGTTTTCTTTTTAATATACATACATACATTTTTTTTTATTTTACTTATTTGGTTTTGGCAAATACGTTTACATTGTCTCAAAAGAATTGTTTTGTCGTTTTTTTTTTTACAAAGTTTACTGCAGAGTTTACAAAAATTCGCAGGAAAAATACAAATCTACATATGTAAATTTTATTATACGTACATTTTAAGTGGGAGTGTCAGTATGTGTAATTTTTCTTTTTTAAATATTTTGCATACATATGTATGTATGTGTACCGGGGTTTTCGAAAATGATTGCTTAAAAAATTTGTGGTTGTCTGTTAAAAACTTGATTATCGTCGGAAAGCAGAAGATGAAGTTAACTTCGGTTGCAAATATTTAGTCCTATGTTAATAGTACATACAATACATAAGTACAAGGGACAAGTGTTTTTGTTTCAATTATTATTTTTTTTCTAGTACATTTTTTGGCGTTTCTGTTTTAAGTCTACATGGTATATGTCACATAAGAGAGAACGCTAGGAGCATTTCTATGTAGTCAATACAGTAAAGAGGATTGTGCTAAATGATGTACGACATAATATTACTCATCTTCTTATTTTTTCGCGGTCTTTTCATTTTTTTTTTTAGCTATAGTTTTAAAAAATATTTTTATTTACAATAAGTACATCCGCTCGATAGTTAAAAAAAAAAAAAAATGTTTACAAACATTTAAGTGCGTAAATAGCGCGTTATTAAAAATATAAATATGGTTATCAATAAATTTACAAAGTCCGAACGTAGGGCTGCCGCGTCGCCACAATATGTGTACAGTTCCTCCTGTGAAAAAGTAAAAAGATAAAATGAAAGAAATTTGAAATATAAAAAAATGAATGAGGGCTTGTGCAAATTGATAGTAAAGTGCTCTTGATAGCAAATTTTTGACAGCTATGAGATGCATCGAAATTGCCGAGCACGCACAGCAGCAATGTAACATTTTGTCAATATATTAAAAATTTGTTTCACTACACAGAGAAAAAAAAACGACCGAATACAAGTTATTTTTAAAGGAAAACACAACTGACTTCATTGCTCATATACAAATTTAGGGGTACTGTTAGTTTCTATATGATCATATGATCGGATGTAAACGAAATTATCCGGTAATATACATGAAAATATATTCCGACGAATTGATAGCTTCCTCCCATTTTTCTTGTATCGAGAAGGACATTATAAAAAAAATCAATAAAGCATTCTTTCATTAAATACATATGAACATATGTATCGACCCCCCAGGGTTCTACAGGAGACTGGACGGGGGTATCCGTTGTCTTAAAAAAGGGGGAGGGGGGGAACAGTTGCAAGTGGGGGTCCAAAAAATTTATTTGATTGAAATTAAGGGAGCCAAACAAATTGCGATTTTTTCGGCGATTTTCGAAAGGCTGTATTTCGGTGAAAAATTATGGTCTTTAGAAAATTGATAAAAAAGATTTTAAAGCTTTAAGATTCTAACTTTCAGATTTCTTGTCTGAAAAGTTTTAGGGGCTAAGGTTCCCAGGCAATCTTTACAGATAACCCAAACAAATTAGTTTGGAATTTTTTTTTGGTCCATGGGCGTGAAAAAAAATTTGTACAGTTAGGCCGCAATTTGTATCAGATAGCCTGTTTATTTAGCTTTCTTATGATTTTTTTTAAAAACCTCCTTTAATTTTTTTGAGTATTGTATTCTAAGGCAGAGTTCGGCAAAAATTCGTCACTGCGGAACTAAGTTTATCTTTAATGCAACTCAGCTCTTTCGTCTTCTTAACTAAGTTTATCTTTAGTACAACTCAGTTTTTTCGCCTCAATATTTACCTCACGTTCCCATGCCACTCAAAATATTACTCCTCACATAAGAGCGTTCTGTCTCTAAATCGATTCTCTTGGGGTGTTCACAACAGCGTTATCTTTTATATTTTTTTAATGATATTAAATATTTTTTATATATTAACATTTTTTTTAAATTTATTATATATTTTATTTATATTTTTATATTTCTTTATATTTTTCTATCTATTTTTAAATTTTTTTTTATTTTTTTTATATTTCTTTATTTATTTTTTATATTTTTTATATATATTTTTTAATATTTTTTGTCTTTTTATTTTTAATTTTTTTTATATATTTGTTATATTTTTTATATATTTTTATATTTTTTTAATATTTTTTATATATTTTTCTATATATTTTTTATATATATATATATTTTTTTTGTTTACTACGAATTTAGGATTCGATCTCATCCGCAACCCAAATTTCCATTTAAATCTTTTCATTTTTTGACGACGTTTGAGAATATGGTAGAAATGCAGCAGCAAGAGCTCCACCGAAACCAGTAAAATGTTTAAAGTGAAAAAAGGAAAAAAGTTTGGGAACCTTTGGCCTAGACACTTTTCGTAGAGACACTCTTCCAATCCTTCCATAGGTCATATTTTTCTCTGTGTATACTATAGAACTTTCGTATTGATTTGCACAGTCCCGGCGAGTACATACATGCGCAAGCTTTGATTAGGCTTACAGCAAATTATTTTAATTTAATAAAATAATAGCCTGAATAAAGCTATTTGCTTTCTCTCTAAACTTAACCAACAACTCACCTCTGGGTGTTGCGTAAAGCATTCTTCTAAACGTCTTCGCTCATAGAAGCTCATATTCAATTTGTAGCATGGAAACTCTATATCATATTCGAGACGTTCGGGTTCCGTGCTCAGACGCATTCCCTTCGATGGCATCAAAACATTTACCACCACCAACAAAAGATTGGTATTCGGTATTTTCTTTAAGTAAAACGGACGTGAATATGGCACTTTTATATGGTCGTTAATATCTTCAAGCGAATTCGATTGTAATACATAGAGTGTTGAGCGCGTGTCGCACGGTGTATATACTGGTTCGGGTTTTTTCTTCTCAAATAACAGCTTGCCATCGTCGCTGACATCTTTTTGTTTTTGTGGCTGACGTGAAAATGCGTCTGGGACGGCTTCATAGTCATCGTCGATTTCGTCGGAGTACTCTAAGACTGAAAAAAGCGGAAGGAAATTGTTCATTGTGAGCGTCGGTTTACCATGTATAAAGTATTATAAAGTATTAGCTACTCACATGGTGCCGCTTCCACCCACCACTTGATGCGCGCATACTGCCAGAAGAGTTGTGCTACCAACCAGCGCCAGCCTAAACTAAGCAGTCTCATTGGCTGTACGAGTGCGATGATAAGAAAATATTTTTTAAGTTTTCGTCTCAAAGTATTTCTATTTTACATAGGTATGTATATGTATTTAAACTTACATGTAACAGCGATTGCGCATCGCTGGCATCATCAACCTCCTCGCGACACAATGCCTGATAGTCGTAAACATTAATCGCTTGGAAAAAGTTCTTTTCCACCATTGCTGTCATGACATCACCTTGATATTCGCCAAAAAATTTGCCAGTATGATTGACATTTTGTGCGATTACAATGTAAGCATTATTGTCTATGACATAGCACTCGATTTCGTCACTCGAACAGGTTTTGATGCAGCCATTGCACTGCAAAAGAAGCAAATCTCTGTAGATACTTATTTTCAATATTTCTGTTCGTTTTTATAATAAATATACATACTATGCTCTTCTAAACCTTCGGGCCAAACATATTGCGGATATATTTGAAGGTGATTGAACGGGAGGCTACACGCCTAGTTTTATAAATCACGTTATTAGGACTATTCACAAAAATATTATTATTTATGCAACAACTAACTCTCAGTTAAAGGTCTATGTAATTCTTTTGTCTTTACGTTAAATAAAACTGCACCGAGAAAAGAGGTTATGTTTGTCAATTAAGGGCCGCTTGTTCAATGTCTGGTTAAAACAAATCAGAGGTAGAAGCTCCGGTTAAATACAACGACTGCTTTATCGATCACATGTTATATGCATGATGTCGAAATCGTCGATAATGATGTTTACCTGTGAGGTAGTAATAACCAGACAGTGAACAACCGGCCCTTAATATGTTTCTCTCAACACATGATGTGTTTATACTACAGTGGTGAAATTCGTAAAAAAAAATGCGTTGATTTTTGATAACTTTTTTCCTCAATGTACTACACACATTTTTCCATACAAAAAAATTGTAGAACGTACATGTATTTATGTAAGAAAAAGCGTGAAGAAAATTGCCAAAAATCAACGCGATTTTTTAGTAACTTAAAACTTACACCTCTTCAAAACTGAAACTTCTGCAAACTCTGATTCAAAAGTTGAAAATTTAGATGCAAAAAAAAGACGCATAAAAAAAACTTCAGAGCGAAGAATGATTCTGAACCAGAGACATAACTATTGTAAGAGAAAAGAATAAAAGTCAATCAATAATAATTATATTAAGATAAACATTTTGCGAGTCATCTATAATTATTATTGAAAGACTTAAATTATAAAAGTCCTTTCATAATAATTATCAGAGAGATAAATATTTTTAGGTCTTCAAAGACTTTTATTTTGTGAATCATATTATAAAAGTCGTTTCATAATTATTATGAGTGAGAAAAAATTGTTTTAAGTCTTAAAACACGGGGCTTGTTCAGGACCATTTCGGCATTAGTTCGGGGCTAATTGGGGGCCAGTTCGCGACTACTTGGGGATAAGTTCGGAAACAGTTTGGTACTAGTTGGTGTGTAGTTTGGGCCCAGTCGGGGACTAGATTGGAACCCAGCTGGGGACTAGTTCCAACTGCCCCGAACAAATCCCGAAATGGGCCCGAACAAATCCCGAAATGATCCTTTAAGACTTTGACAATTTTTGCGCACTCATAATAGCTATGAAACGACTTTTATAACAAAAGTCTCAAAATAAAAGTCTTTGAAGACTTATTGGCAGTAAGAGCTAGTACCGTCCGAAAACACTACAGTACAGATATATCAATAAACAGGTACGAAAGAAAAGGAACACATACGTTTATAAATAAACATGTACACAACACATATACAAAAACGGCACTCAAGTACACAATACATTGACAAAAACGGTACTAGACTGTCTCGATTTGATTTCGGAATGCTTACACATTGAGATGTTAGCTTATTGCCAATATAGAAGTATTACATATATGGCTTTATACATATAAATATATTTCTCACTGAACAACAAATGGTCCCTTGGCTCAGAATAAATACATAAATACAAGCACATTTATGACGTGTAGTACCGCTATAAAAAATAGATTGATCATTTGACAATGTAGCCAGAGACTGACGTTATCTTCTACGAAAACAGTGTTGTTAACGAAGCTTTAATTTGGACTTTATAATTCTTTCGGTGAGTGTATAAAACTCCTTTACTTAACAAACCTCAACAAAACAAGTAAGAAAGTCTATGTTCGGGTGGAGCCGAACATTAAATACCCGGCGCAAGTATTAAATATATGTTTTTTCACCTTTCCGAAAGCTATCGCTAGATGGTAAGCGTAAATTAGCGTCCTTAAATTTCGAAATATTGACGTTTCAAGCATTTCTGAAATTTACCGTTATATGAAAAGCGGCCTCAATTTTAGTCCGATTTCAATAATTTTCAACGTTTTGCTTTTATGTGGCCAGCACAATAAAAATACCGAGTTTGGTACAAATTGGTAGAACGGTTACCGATATACATATACATATGTGATCATAAGTGGGCGGTGCCACGCCCATTTTTCAAAATTTTACCATAAACGTATTTCTTGGTAAAGAATTGTTGCAAGCATCAATTTTGAATACATTAGCTTCAATAATTACTGATTTATCGAAGATTTTGTATTTCTTTAAATTACCGTTATATGGGATGTGTCCGTGGTTATTGTCCGATTTTTTAAATTTTCGGCCACTTAGTTTGCTGTGCCAAGTTTGGAAGAAATTGGT